TTTTATGCATGTTTATGACAACTGTCATTAAGTGTCATTCGCTCAGTTATGTAATTTTTAATGCAAAGATGACATTGTTTGAGATGTCTTTGTTATGGGCTATGGTTAGGGGTAAGGGTAGGGGTAGGGTTAGGTCAAATAATGTCATATTTGCATTAAAAATGACATAACTAAGCGAATGACACTTAATGACAGTTGTCATAAACATGCATAAAAACCCTTCATATTCATGACATGTGTCATGTCATGATTATGTATGTGTCATGTCATGATTATGAAGGTGTCATGTCAGTCTTATGCACACCCCTTCAAGTAAAGTGTAACCGAAGCTTGCATTATGAACCTTATCGGTTCGGCTCATGCATATTAATTAGGCAACGTTTGCCCAGTAGTCCTTGCTGAAAGATAAGTAGGAGACCGTTTAACACCAGTTTGTTTGTCTTAACGAGGTCAGAAAAAAAAGGCCATTAAATCTAAAGTTGCCGTTTTATGCTGTTGGCTACTATAAAAGTTATATTTATACTTTTATATACTACTGTTCAAAAGCTTTGGCTTGGTAAGATTTTAAAAATACATATTTTTTAAATCTCTTGTGTTCAACAAGGCTGCATTTATTTGATCATTGTGAAATATTATTTCAATTTAAAATAACTTTTCTATTTTAATGTATTATAAAATGATTTTTTATTAATTCATTTTTGTGGCAGTAAAGATGCATTTTCAGCATCATTACTCAAGTCAGTGTCACATGATCCTTCAGAAATCATAATGATATTCTGATTTTGTGCTCAAGAAACATTTCTTCTTATTAAAACATTTTGAAAACAGCTGTGCTGCTAAATTTACTGTGAAAACCACTATGCATTTTTTTCAGGATTCTTTGATGAATAGAAGGTTAAAATTAACAGAATTTATTTGCATTAATAAAAAAAAATCTCTTGTAGCATAAATGTCATTACGCTCTCTTGAATTAAAAAAAATCTACTGACCCCAAACTTTTAAAAGATATTTTAAATATTTAAATTATTAATTTAGTTGAAACTCTTAACTTATCACAATTATTTCCTAAAAGTGGGCAAGTTGAAGATGGACACTTGTCCCCATAAAGTTATTATGTTTGCTTATACCACTTGATAATATTGATTTTTTTTCCTCCCTCTGGCTGATTCCCCCAAGCATATGTCGTAGCATCAAGCTTTGTTTGCCCATGTCTCATTGTAAATCTTTCCTCAAGGAAGATCCCAGGCCTCCACGTCTATGCAGCGATGCAGGACGAAAAAGAGCAAGAAATGATCCAGAGTCCAGTTTCTCCCACTGACAGCACACCCAGCTTCAGCTCTCAGAGAGAGCTGCTCACATCACTGGAACCTCTGGTCACAGAGCCCAACACCCAGACCATCGGTGAGTACCACACAGTATCATACAGGCCCTCGGCGCCCACTTCTGATACTTCTCCATTTAACACTGAAGTACTTTCCTACTCAGCTCTCCTCTTCTACTGAAATCATATGATTCTTGGGAACAGCAGACACACTTTCCCTGTCACTCGGCTTAGTCGTGGCGTGTTAGCCAACTTCCTGTAAATGGCCTCAGCAGTTTTTGTTGGTATAGAGAGTCTTGTTGACTGCAGGGAAAAGCCCTGGTTGCTCGACTTATTGTCCCCTGATGACTCCTATAATAAATCAACAGAACAGCAAATGTCATGATGTATTTCAGCTTTCTAGGCTGCCGTGGGAATCACTGATACTCTCATATGGTTTGTTTGACATTTGGAAAGAAGACAATGTATTGATAAAGAAACAACAGTAAGAAAGTATATATATATATATATATATATATATATATATATGTATCTTGTGTTGTTCGAAACATGATGTCGAAGTCGGCCTGTGGCGTGACCTCAGAACTAACGGCAAGGGCACAGAGCAAAACTCCTAGCACAATGGTTGCCATGGCTACTGCAGAGCTCAGTCTGGAGTGTGTGGGAATTTGGGCCTCGAGAGCTGAATTCTGAGCGCAGAGTCGCGCTGCAGGAGCTTATATAGAGCCGAACCCCGTTACATAAACACACGCCCCCTACACACACAGCCACACACACATCCACATACACACATCTACATGAGCAGAGCACATACCAAAAGTGCATTAGAATTATTCAAACTAACACAAACCGTTCAAGAAATCTTTTTTACTTTCAGCTTTGCATTAATACATCATATTACTCTTGTGTTGTTCGAAACACGTAAGACCTTCGTTCATCTTCGGAACACAATTTAAGAGATTTTTGATGACATATGAGGGCTCTCTGACCCGCTCGTGTCATGATACTGTCGTGAACTCGCGTCCACAAGTGACGCAGTATAGACGAAAATGTGGAATAAAGTCGTTATTTTTGTTTTCTTTGCGCAAAAATGTATTCTCGTAGCTTCGTAACTTTACACTTGAACCACTGATGTCACACGGACTACTTTGTCGATCATCTTGGTACTTTTCTGGACCTTTTCTGTCTATGGGAGGGTAAGAGAACCCTCAGATTTCATCAAAAATATCTTAAATTGTGTTTTCCGAAGATGAACGAAGGTCTTACGGGTTTGGAACAACACGAGGGTGAATAATTAATGGCAGAATTTTCATTTTTGGGTGAACTTACCCTTTAGTTCTGGCAGCTCACGTCAGTCAAGCATGCATTTTCTGACTCCTATACGACACCTATCACAGCATCCATATATAAGGTACTTCAGTATTATCAGCAGCTTTCAAGTTGGCTCAATAGCTAATGGCAAATTCGGCAGTCAAAACCACATTATCTTACTAGGAATTGTGCAATCAGGAATTTAGCGAGAGAAATTCGTTTCCCTCATGGACTTCACCTCAGATTCATTCAAGTGTGTGAACTTGAACACGTGAATTCGCCACATTGATCATAAGCTGCCTGATTTGGAAGTGACTGAGCTAGCATTGCTTCTTGCATCGCTGCGTTATTGACATGGACTCCATGAGTTATACTAATGTGACTGACTCAAGAACAAGTTCAGATGAGATATGCACTCCCCGCATGAAGAAGGATATCAAGAGATCAAGAGATCAAGCATCCACGTCACAGCTGGCTATATTTCACTCTCCATTCATCTCTGAATGTCTTCACGAAGCTAAGCTAAGTTCCTTTTTAATGCTTTCAGGTTATTGGCAACATGCTTGTTGCTAAGGCTATCCATGTTGCTTGGGCTTATTTAGTCGTTTTCAGTAAAATGCTTGTGCTAGGCTTATGCGATCATATTGGCAATATGCGTTATTATCTGTTGTCATTGGCAACATGCTGTGTTTTAACCTATCGAGTCTGGTCACCTTTATTTATATAGCAGTAAACAGCACAAATTCAGGGAGCTTTGTGGTGATAGACAGAAAATAACGATCATGGAGCAGGCGGAATCAGAATCAGCTGTGGCACAGCTCCAGGGAGAAAATGGTAAGCAGGCGTTGTTCGGTGAGGTTGGTTCAGCATTGATTCTATTCGAGTATCGGAAACGATTGTTCTATCTAGTTGTATTGGAAACATGCTTGTTCCAGAACTGTTTGGTTGCTTTTGGAACATGCTTTTCGTAAGGCTATCTGGGTTCTGTTGGAAACATGCATGTCTAAAGGCTATCTGGTTGTTGTTGATAACGTGTTGTTGCTTAAGCTTTTCAGGTATTGGCAACATACTCATTAGGTCATCTGGTTAAGGGCAACATGCTTGTTACTATGGCTTATGCAGGAATTGGCAACATACTTGTTTGGGTCACTGGGTAATGGCAACATTCTTGTTGCTTAAGGCATTGAGATTTTCACTGTCAGTTTTTGTTGGGGATATCAGCACATGGTTTCTGGGTTATCGCTGCTCTCCCTGCTCTTATCCACGCTAGGCTGCATGGATGCACAGGAAGTTATTGACAGAACTATACCGCCAATCCAAACTGTATTCTGATTTTCAATCATCTTTGACAATAGTGGTCCTGACAGAAATCAAGCATAGCATTAGTTCTGGCAGGTGACGTCAGTCAAGCTAACATCAACTGACTCTCAGCTGATCCACGTCTTCCTATAGAGATACAACACCTATCACAGCATTCCATATATAAGTTCCTTCAGTATTATCAGCAGCTTTCCTGTTGGCTCAATAGCTAATTACCCTCCTCCATCCCCAGCTCCTCCTCTCGTCCAGTCAGGATTCAGCCTTCTGATTCCCCTTTGAATCAGACTAACTTAATTTATTATATAACTTACTATTTGTAATAAATTATATGATTAGTAAAATGCTAAATATAAATTGTTAAAATACTATTAATATAATTAATATATTAGTAATATAACAAAACAATTTTAATATATAAAAAAATTATTATTTAGTTATGTAATACACACACATACACACACACACACACACACACACACAGTGTGTTACGGATTTGAGGATAGACAGACAAACACATTAATATAAAAGATGTAGAAAACATAATTGTATAATTATTGGAATTGTGTATATTATATATTTATTACATATTGTGTATGTAAATGAAATACAATTCTAAAATTCTAAGCAAAATTAGAATTGTATTTATTATATATTACATACTTCCATGAACATATATAAATCATTAAAATATTTATAATAATATTTATAAAATAATACAATTATTTCTTTTTAAATTAAATTTTGTTCTTATTGTCATTTATTTTATTGTCAGACATTATATTGATTTAGTTTTTATTGTCATTTTGTCTCTTTGTATTTCCCAGAGTGCATCAAACCTCATCCACGTGTCAAATTCTCATCAGATCTTCCTACATACATTGACGTTTGAACTCTAGCCTCCGCCATGTCAAGGACTTTGGTCATGCGGACACAAAGGTTTCAAGCTTTATTCAGTACCTGTGCATGTTGGACATTAACTTTACTGTGCTCAGTGAATACTAGAACAAACTTTGTACAGCTTTTTTATACATCTGTGTATTCAAGAAAACATTTTTGATGCTGTTAATTTCTAAAGATGCCAGTGTGTACAAAGTCTGAGGGAAAATCCAGCATGAAGCGTGGAAAAAACGACAATTATACTTGGTTACCCGTCTGTTTATTTTTATTGTAAACAGTGCCAGTACAGTATTCATGAGCGTAAAACAGGGATATGTGACATTTTGAAAGTGTTTTAATAACAAAATGTAAAATAATTAATGATTATTGTAAAATGAAACGTTTCCTGGGTTTCATTTTGTAAAACTATATCTAGCACATCTGTACTTTACATGTAACACAGAAATGTAGATTTTACCACTAATTTTATGAGTTTCATGAAACTTTATTCATGAAACAGGGTTAATGTTGAAGCTTGTTTATCTTGTTTTACTTCTCTGCAATATCAAAGTATTTTTTCTTAGTAAAATAAAATCTTTGTGTTTCTATGTAGAAATAACTGACTGTTGGTTTACAGATACATATCAGTGTCAAAATATGCTGTGTAAACTGACTTGAGACGTTATGGCCAAGCTCAAGATGATAATCGTATACTGTCTAGTGTTTCATAAACAGTTTTGTATGGAATAATTTATGTGTACTCACAGAGAGTTACATGATTTATGCTTTCATTTTGCTTGTTTATTTGTTATTTTTTGTGCATTTAAATTCAGTCATGACGTACCAAAAGTGAACTGTACAGGCTGACGGATATGAATGTATGAATGTGTAAGTACATATTTAAAACTTTTTTAATTTATTTTTACTTTCCCTCTTTATGAGCAGTATAAAATCACAGGGAAGCCACGATCAGTTGATGAACTGACTAGCACTAACGAATCATATATATATATATATATATATATATATATATATATATATATATATATATATATATATATATATATATATCATTATTTTATTTCTTTTTTGCATTTTGGGGGTTTTATTCTTCTTGAAAGAGGTATCTTATGCTCACCAAGGTGGCATTTATTTAGTCAAAAATACAATAAAAACATCAATATTGTGAAATATTATTACATTTTAAAATAATTGGTTTCTATTTCAATATACTATAAAATGCAATTTATTCCTGTGATGCAAAGCTAAATTTTCAGCATCCACAATTTATAATTAATTATAATTTTTTTAAACAGTTTTGCTGCTTAATATTTTTGTGTAAATCTTGATACAGCATGAATAGAAATTTCAGAAGAACAGCATTTATTTGAAATAGATTTTTTTTTTGTAACAATATAAAAGTCTGATAAGTGTATATGAAAATGGTACTGTTTTGGTGAAACAGATGCTAGTCATAAAATGACTTCTTTCCACTTCCAGAGAAAAACAAATGTTAGAAAAGAGGAGAAATGAGCAGCCATTACGAATAGTTTCGCGACAGCACAGCTAGAGAGACAGTGAGAGGGAGGTAACTGGAAGGCACATTAGACTGCAGATTAAGGAGCAATCAATGCTTCCAGGGGCCCCGGCTCAGCTGACATCTCAAGGTAACTTTCAACGGCGCCCAGGGAACTGTAAGTATGAATGTGTTTGTGTGCGCCTGTTATGCAATTGCAGTCAAGGGCACAGCTAATTCAAGCCTAATGAAACATTTTGATTTTCTCCATTAAAAAAAAATCATGCCCTCATGATAAAGTATTAGGCGATCTGTGTACCTCTTGTGTACAAATTAAAATTCATCAGAGGCCTGTCTCTTCAAGGATAATAACCAGCTCAATCCCCTCCCTGTGGGTTTGTACTGTAGTTACTCCAAGGACATTAGACTCAATCTTCCTCTGGTGACATGTGTGCCTACGGCGAACAGTGTCCACCGCTGGCACCTCGGCTAGCAGACTCACCACATTTAATTACCTTTGGAAAGAAAGACCAACGGGAGTGAGAGAGAGAGACACACACACACACACCAAAAGTGTTCATACACAGCTTAACAAATCATAATCAAGGACTGGAACTATATAATCATTATAACAATATATAACATTATATAAAATACTAATGTTACTTTGTACATTCAGGAAATCAAGGCAAAATTAGTAACCTTTGCAATGTCCATACTATGAGTTACTATAGTTATACCATGACATCAAAGTGTGTGTGTGTGTGTGTTTGTTTGTGTGTGAGAGAGAGAGAGAGATAGAGAGAGATACCAAGCTTCACTGCTTATCCAGCCATTCACTTCATTAACTTCCTATCTCTCCCTGGGGATAGATTGTATTCACAGAGGTTAACACAGGCCAGCAAATAGAAAGTCACTCTCTTCTACAGACTGATTTGCATGGTCTGATGGTAATTGGCATTCAGGAAAGCTGTATTTGATTACGAGGTTCAGAGGTGTTCTTTCAGTTCTGGAGACTCACAATGTCTTTGTTCTTAACTCCACTGGAAAGATGACGGTGATAATTTGACAGTGATTTCATGAGCATATTCCCATCATCAATGATGAATCTACTTATGCAGCAGAGCAGAAGGAGAAGTATATTTTAATGAGAACGAAACAGCTGAACTACATGCAGAGGTCTTAAAGGCGGCAGAAGAAAAATGAAAACGGACCAGGAACTGACCCTTGTGGGACACTCTCCCATAAAAGGGATTATTTATTTCAAATGAATGTATACTGAACCCTGCGTTTGGCCTGATTGATTACCATGCTCAGTGGAACTGCGAAATAAGCAACCTCCAAACGATGCATATGTAAACAACTGATTACTCGTTAATCTGCTTGTGCAGTTTTGAATAAAACCCAGAGCTGGAGAACCAGTGGTGTAATGTAACAATACTTCAGTAATAATACTTATATACTTATAGTACTAATAGTACTTAAGTATTTTTGGGGAGAATCTGTACTTTACTTGAGTTTTTATATTTCTGTCAACTTTCACTTTTAAGCCACTACATTTCTTAATTAAAATGAATACTTTTACTCCGATACATTTCCCCGAAGCATTACTTACTACAAAATAAAGTCGTAAGAACACAGACAGCAAGAAAGCAGGTTTGACAAATCAGTGGTCTGGTGCTTGCAAGACTCCTAAAAAACACCTTTGCTCATTGGCAAACAAGTGCTCGCACAACCACGGATGATTTCATTTTACACTCAATTCGAGGCTGGGGTGTGCGACATACAGTATATCGTCTATGATAATATAATAATTGTTTTAATGATATGCAATCTGACATTATCGAGTATATCCCAAAAACACAGAGAGTGCATGCATACACTACGTGATTTAGTCTATTAAAATGCATTTAGAATCATCAAAATTCAAGGCATTCTAAATTGTAGGATTGTCTTTTATATTTATAGAATTTAATATAGTTAATCTATATCACATGAAGAGTGACGTTTTTTTTTTTTTTCCAGAAATCAGCATGATAAATGTAATATTGATTTTAAACAAGCTTAATAATGTAAGCATTAAGTAACTTACATTTTAGACACAACATTGCCTGTTTTTGCTCAATTTTGCCAACGAAAATAGTTCCAAACAAAGATCAAAGCACTGTTTTGCATCTCCGAGCAACACACAGTTGCCCTGCGCCTCAGTGTTCATACTATCCATCCTAAATAATATGTGAGATTAGAATAAGTGTGTCCCAAAGCATAGTATGTTAAAAAGAGTATGCCAAAAGTCCCCAGATGGTCTACTTTTTCAGGTACATTTTTGAAGTGTGGATCCGTGCACACTCTAATGGCTAATATTGCCCACAATCCATTGCGCTTTGGTGAAGGATACTGTCTAGAATGACACAAATAAAATGCGTAAAAAAAAACTACAATGGCCGATGTGCGCGACCAGGTAGAGAGGCTTAGAAAAAGGGGTTTGAGTTACTAATATTCAACATTTACCCTGGTAAAAAATATGTATTTAATGTTATCTGTGTTATATTTCATCTGCAACAGCAATGTAAACTTTTATAAACATTTGTTTGGTCGTTAATTTTTAAATGCATCATTATGCATGAAAGACTGGCAGATCAATGTGCTACATCTTTTCTCTCCAATACAGTAGGAAGTTAAATTAAATGCAATGTGGAGGATGTTAACTGTGACAAGATGATTGACAGTCCGTTAAAGACATAATTAAAATGAATACTTTTACTCCGATACATTTCCCCGAAGCATTACTTACTACAAAATAAAGTCGTAAGAACACAGACAGCAAGAAAGCAGGTTTGACAAATCAGTGGTCTGGTGCTTGCAAGACTCCTAAAAAACACCTTTGCTCATTGGCAAACAAGTGCTCGCACAACCACGGATGATTTCATTTTACACTCAATTCGAGGCTGGGGTGTGCGACATACAGTATATCGTCTATGATAATATAATAATTGTTTTAATGATATGCAATCTGACATTATCGAGTATATCCCAAAAACACAGAGAGTGCATGCATACACTACGTGATTTAGTCTATTAAAATGCATTTAGAATCATCAAAATTCAAGGCATTCTAAATTGTAGGATTGTCTTTTATATTTATAGAATTTAATATAGTTAATCTATATCACATGAAGAGTGACGTTTTTTTTTTTTTTCCAGAAATCAGCATGATAAATGTAATATTGATTTTAAACAAGCTTAATAATGTAAGCATTAAGTAACTTACATTTTAGACACAACATTGCCTGTTTTTGCTCAATTTTGCCAACGAAAATAGTTCCAAACAAAGATCAAAGCACTGTTTTGCATCTCCGAGCAACACACAGTTGCCCTGCGCCTCAGTGTTCATACTATCCATCCTAAATAATATGTGAGATTAGAATAAGTGTGTCCCAAAGCATAGTATGTTAAAAAGAGTATGCCAAAAGTCCCCAGATGGTCTACTTTTTCAGGTACATTTTTGAAGTGTGGATCCGTGCACACTCTAATGGCTAATATTGCCCACAATCCATTGCGCTTTGGTGAAGGATACTGTCTAGAATGACACAAATAAAATGCGTAAAAAAAAACTACAATGGCCGATGTGCGCGACCAGCGGTTAGGTAGAGAGGCTTAGAAAAAGGGGTTTGAGTTACTAATATTCAACATTTACCCTGGTAAAAAATATGTATTTAATGTTATCTGTGTTATATTTCATCTGCAACAGCAATGTAAACTTTTATAAACATTTGTTTGGTCGTTAATTTTTAAATGCATCATTATGCATGAAAGACTGGCAGATCAATGTGCTACATCTTTTCTCTCCAATACAGTAGGAAGTTAAATTAAATGCAATGTGGAGGATGTTAACTGTGACAAGATGATTGACAGTCCGTTAAAGACACAGTTGTGTGACGTGATAGTATGTCCCAAAGCTTGCATACTCTTCTACTACACACTCAAAAAGTGTGTACTTTTTATTCACCAAAACAGTACATACTTTAAGGGCGTAGTATAAGTAGGCACATTGAGATGCAGCATTGGTGTTTCCTTATTAAATGAATCAGCTTTTTGAACGAATCTGTTGAATGAATGCTTCAGTGACACTCATGAACACAATCAAATGCTTCCTTCCTGAATGAATCCTCCATTTGAAAGAATCAGTTGACTGCCACTCGGTGGTTTTAATTTCACATTTCAACAATTTTGTCATGTTTTAAATCAGGGATAGGTTGTCCAGCAGAGTTTAGCTCCAACCCTGAAAATAAACTCACCTGCCTGCAGCATTAGTAACAATAAATAGCCTTAGAAATTAAGCACCTCTTATGCTTACCCAAAGATACAAAATTGAAGAAAGAGTTAAAACTGAACGCATCTTGCTGCTCAAACTGTGTGTGTATACATATATATATATA